TTTTAAAAGTTTTTTACATTATGTAGGTCGTAGTAACTCTGCGGATGGAAGACGGTAGCATGTTTTATTAGCCTGTTTTTAATAAAGCATGCTCAGGCACAATGGGAGATCAAGGTGAGACCTGAGGAACTTTAAACAAGTCTTAATCGAAATGAAAACACCGTAAAGGAAATGTCATCTTTAATGCGTTGACTTCATGCATATCGCGATCTTAAGATTACTGACCGTTACGGGGTCGATTCTTGAGTATAATAGGAAGTCCTTTGGGGAATGTCCCCTGGAAAATATTACCAAGTTCTGACAGCTGTTGATGTTTATCAAACTAGTTTGAGAATGCATTTATTGTCGGTAAATTAATTTGTTCCTAGTTTATTTATGACACCAGATGTTTCGTCACAAAGTCAAGTTCGTGTTTGGAGATGAAACCGATGGACAACGGCGAGATTTTCGCACTGCTTCTCTCGAGAATGACTCCGAGATAGGTTCTTCTATCATTGCTCAGAAATATAGTATTTTTGTGCTAATGTTGGTTTACAACTTATGTATATAACTTGTTGTATCTGGTTTTATTGAATGATAATGTATCACATATCGTGAATTGATGCATATTCTGAACAATTTGAACATCAGTCATTTATCAGAATGCTTTTTGTATTTTTTTTATGACTTCTATAAACACGTTGGCGTACTTGACACAAATAAAGAATTCTCAGAAACAGCACCGTTTGTCATAAAACTGTACACATGTTTACATTTACAAATTCCAGCTTCACCATCCGTCATATGAGCAGCAAGTAAGTCATAAGCAGTAAGTAGCTTTGCGTTGCGTACGAGCCAAAGCTAATATAGATCTAAACAATATGTGCGAGTTTCAAGCTTTGCATAATATAGAAACATAGTAGACCGCGCGAATCGAACATCAGTACCGAATCTTAACCTCACTCTTTAGTAGACTTAAATTCAAAGTTTAACAACAATACGTGCAGTGTTCTCACTACAGTGAATTGTTAAGTGTCACCAAGTCATTAGAAAAATGTAACTCAACCGAGAACATCTTCACGCCATAATTTACTACAACTTTCAGAGATAATTATCGCAACAAGAATGCCTTGCTGAGTTACTGTCGTTTTCGACAACGAAGCGCCACACCAGTCGACGATTCCCCGTTGGTATGGAGAACTGAAACGTAGACCGATGAGTCTTAGCGACGATCCCAGGGCGGGTGCACCAAAAACGGCAATCACCCAGGAAAACGTCGATGCTGTGCGCAAACTCATCATTGTAGATAGACATGTGACATATCGCGAGACTGAGGCGTCCTTGAAGATCTCGGAAACCTTGATTCAAAAAATTTTACGTGAAAAATTAGGAGTAAGAAAATTAGTTTCTCGTTGGATACCCCGCTTGTTGACTGAAGAGCAGAAAGCAGCCAGGGTTAATTAGTGTCAAAGAACGCTTGACCGTTTCAATTCCGGAAACTCAAAAAATGTGTACAAAAGTCATCCGTTCTCGAAGTGTTTCGAGAAAGATGGTCGCGACATTTGTGTCAAAAGCGGGCCATATTGCAACAGTTCCTCTCAATGAGCAAAGAATTGTTACTTCTGATTGGTGTGCCACCATTTGTTTGCCAAAGGTCATCACCGAGCTTCGGAAAATCAACCCCGAAAGAAGAAGCATTCTCCACCAAGGCAATGCTAGCTCGCACACAGCCCAAAAAACAAGGCAGTATTTAACGGAAGAAAACGTGGAATTATTGGACCATCCTCCATATTTATAGTTCCGATCTAAAACCTAACGATTTCTTTACTTTCCCAAAAATTAAAAACGGACTGCGTGGTCGAAGGTTCCAGTCACCAGAAGAAGCAGTTGACGCATTCAAAAATGCCGTTTTGGATCTGCCAGCAAACGAGTGGAATAAGTGGTTCAAAAATTGGTTCGAGCGCATGCAGACGTGTATTAATCTTCATGGAGAATACCTCGAAAAACAATAAAGTCATTTAAAACTACCTACCGTGTTGTTTTATTTCCATATGCAAAACTTAAAAGACATCCATCGTATTACGTGTTTAAATTTAGCAATATATGAGTTTCTTAAATAAGTGTTTTAAAGTCACTATTTTTAGAGGTCCTCTTGACAGTCCTCTTGCCAAGCAGATACTCCATCAGATAAGCTGTTTGAAGGATTTTCGTTTGCTCACTCGGTTGTCTCTCCTTTGGCCCAGTAGCACAGAACAATCAATTCTGTGAGCAAGTCGACGTGAACCGTTAAAAATAGACTCTTATGTATTGTCAATTTACCTCTGTGTCATCTTTTCTATCAGCTACAGCTCAGACACCTTCCGTATATTGGGTGGAGTTTGATCAATGTATTTATAATGTTACTGTCGTTTTCCATAAACCACAAAAGCGTGGGGACAGACGTGACAGGAAATAATATGTGATACTTTCCTGTTGAGGCTGACATGATAAATGTCATAGCGACAGATTGCCTTGGAGAGAATTGTATTCTACAGGGCCCCATGGTTGGGCGGATTATAAGATATGGTTCATATAATACATGAAACTTGTCCTTTAGTTTTAAGGCTGATAATTCTAATTGTTTGTCTGGTTGCTGATTGAAACCACATGTGCTTGAAATGGCTTCCTGGTGGCGACGTTGTGGCCAAAACGTTGTCAGCAGTAGACAGTAGTTTAGGCATATATTGTGGTCTGATTTAGCGACCAGACAGTGTTTTAGATTATAAGGTTTACGACTAAATGTCTACCATCCATCATCATTTTCATAAAGTCTAGATTTTTCTCATTTGTTCCTAAGGTATCGAGAATGTGGAGCAGTACTACAAACATTATTCGATGAAGACTGCACCTTTTGTCCATTGGTAAGGTCCTAACTTCCATGAATTTTGATCCATTGGTATAGGTAAAATTGCATAATTCGTATTGGTCCTTTTATAAAGTATCTATAAATTGGTACCTGTGTCCCTAACTGACAATATGTGGGACCCAGCTGGGAGATCGATGCAAGCAAAAGGGTCAGAAGAAGGGCACAGGTAGGATTTTGCTGCGGCGGGGAGGAATGGAAATAACACGGTCTCCTTAACGGCAGTTTAATCAAAATATATTGGGCATTTTATACGCAGAGTGGCGGTGAAAGGTTTGATGTATGGGCTAATGTTCAGCGTATTATAGTTGGATGTGATATATGGAGAAAGGAGGCTCTAATATGAATAGCAGCGGGACCAGTCGAAGCACCGGATACATAAATTCCACGAAGGCTTACACGGATGTGTATTTTTGCTACAATAACGTACAGGCAAGCAGATTTTGAGATCGTATGAATGCGTGTGCGTGAACCGAAATAGCAGTTTCTGTATCTCAGTTTCATACTTTGAAATCATTCTGTGACTCTTAGGCCCGGTTTTTCAATCGCAGGTTAACTACGACCTTGGTCTTAACTTATAGTTATTTATGAAAAAGCGTTTTTCAATATCATGTTTATAGCAAAACGGAAGTTAACTTTAACCAGAAGACCATCTATGATTTAACTAGAAAGGCTATAGTTAAATAGCAAAACCTAAGGTTTTTTGACATAAACTTTGACGTTTATTCAAAAAATCACAACAAATCCGTATCAATCTATCGATTAATTTAAGCTATAAACATGTTTATGGATTACGACGTAAATGCGTATAGCAGTGACGAAGACGCGAGAAGGCCAAAAATAATCGGCCGAATTACTTTGATGAATTTGATGACCTCGATTTCCTTGCAAGATTTCGTCTTACAAAAAGGACTGTAGAAACTGTCCTGGATGAAGTCTTTGAAGATTTAGTATATCCTGCAAGCAGGTAGATGTATATATTATTGTTTATTTGCATATTTCTACATGACATTCCGGGAATAACTGCTTAACGCCCCAACAGCAGCTGTTGTTAGCACTGCACAATTGACGTTTTTTAACTGTTGCTGGAAATTTTGCTGGGGTTTCCAAATCAACTGCATCCAAAACGGTTCGAAAATTCTTAAAAGTACTAACGAGTAAAAGAAGTAATCACATAAAAATGCTGGACACTCTTGAGGCTCTTGCCAGGGCAAAGCAATCCTTTTATAAATGATATAGCTAGGTTTCCTCAATGCATAGGTGCATTAGTCTGCACGCATATAAATATTGTTTCTCCCGGAGGAAGCCATGTAGAGCTCTTCAGAAATCGAACTGTTTCTGACGCAGATTCATACATTTTCGGAAATTCTCAGCTCTGCAGACAATTTGAATCAGGTCACTTTGGCAACTCTTTGTGGGCTGGTGACAAAGGTTATCGTATTAAATGCTATTTGATGACACCGTTAAATACAACTACAACTCCTGCTGAAGAATTATACAATGAATCTATCATTCGTTGTCGCAATATTATAGAGAGAAGCTATGGAGTTTGGAAAAGAAGATTTCCATGTCTAGCTATGGGTCTCAGAGTTCATCTAGATACAGCTCAAGCAGTTACTCTAGGAACAGCAGTGCTACATAATATTGCTTATCCTAATAATGAAGCTATGTCCCTATATATTATCTACGAATAATATATCAAGCTTTAGTCGAGCCACACATAACATATGGTATAGTAGTGTGGGGTGCTGCATGCACGACATACTTTAACGATTTAGATGTACTTCAAAGAAGAATTTTAAAATCAATGTTAGGCAAATCAAAATTATACCCAACTAATTTCTTATATAATGATGCACAAGTATATGATACTAAACAACTTTACTTCTTACATACCATCTCTCATTATCACAAAACTATTAGTGAACACGACATAATTAAACATAATCATAAAACCAGATATAAATTACGCGCAAAAAATGTTCCTAAACCAAACAAATCCCTAATGAAACGATGTCACCTGTATATAGCTCCAAAATTCTACGAACATTTACCAAATAATTTAAAACAATTACGCAATACATTAGGCTTCAAAAAAAAATTAAAAAAATTTATGAACACGATTGGGAGAAATCAAATTAATAAAATAATCTCAAATATTACACAATAAATGCTCTACCATTCTTACCAATAATTTATTTTTTCTCTCTATTTTATTATATTTTGCAATTCAACATACATATGATCCATGCACAGGCGTTGTCCTCCTATGGATATATTATATTTATTTACTCGTTTCATGTTCCCTGTATTTTAGAGTAAATAAATATTATTATTATTATTATCATTATTAGTCCTGAACAGGAAAATGCTATTAACATGGTTCATGTAGATAATGTGAAGACAGATCCTGTAAATATTAGGTTGCCACAAAATGCAATCAACAATGTTAGAACTTACCATATTAATAATTATTTTGCAAATTTGTAAATCGATTCAATACATTCACTGATGCTCAGTTGTTTAGTATAAGATCTGTGATAATCCATGGCAAGTGGATAAGAGTTGTGGCCGAAATTGTTGGTGCCCAAAAAAGGCGCACATGGCATTTGAAAATAGATGTCCCAAGCCTCAAAATGGGCACTTAGTCGATCTTTTTAAACACCTAAAGTTTTCGCCATAGCTCTCATCTACTTGACATGAATTATCCCCTATTTATTGTAACTACAGAATGAAAATAAACATGATTTTCTGAAAACAGTTTATTATCCTCAAAAATGCGAAATACAAAAAAAATGAGTGCAAGTGAAAATCCAGAAATTAACAAAACAAATCCTTTGTTTTCTACTTATCGAATGCATTGATCTGTAAATCTAACAGCTGAACCTTTTTTTTTTTGATATATTTCCATTTTTTATTGTGTTCTTCGATAAATTTTTCTTTTTGTAGTTTCAAAAATTGTTTCAATCAACAGCAATGAGACTTACCATGTTCAGAAACCACCTCATCTTGGTCACTACACTCATCATCATAATTGTTTGTCAAACCTTCTAATTCTGGTCCCATTATATCTTGTATTTGTCTATCAATCAGATCGAATGCTTGCAATTGGCATGAACCTCCCCCTGTCTTGATTATATTGGTTTTGTTTGTAGCAAATTTGCTTTTTGTTTTTTTCTTTGAATTAAATATTTATCTTGTAGAGTTTTTGTCTCTCGGTGGCACCCTGTTAGGGCTTGGAATTCTTGTTCGATGGTCTGCCATACTGAACCTTTCTGTTTCCACGTAACTGTGCCACTCGTTTTGCTCTCTATTACAGCTTTACTTTTGCTCACCAATGATAGCATCATTTCCTCATTCTTCGAGACACTTTGAGCTCTCTTTTTGATATCCTTCTCAGTTTTTGGGAAATTTTAGCAACAAGAATAGAGGTATTGTGTATCCCCTTTACTTTTGGATTGTAGATTATAGGAGTGATATTAAAAAAGGTGGGAAATACGATATTCATCAGATATTTACAACTTAATCGTTTTTGGACCTTAGTATGGTTCATTAGACATTGCATTTGCAAACTTTTTTATCACCCTTTATACAATGCCGTCTATAGGGTCTACTACTAAACATTTGTACGAGCAATGTTTGAAAACACTTACCTTACTTGACGAAGGTTGTATGTTTTATTTGTTTTTAATGAAATTTCCGGATTTCGATTTTGGCTGTTTGAAGAAATTTAATTCAATCGAACTGTCATGTATGACGTATGACACGGGACACAGATGCCGAGCGCACAAAACGCATAGAACACGATATCTAAGAACCGCAGATACAGGGCTGTAACATAAGTATATGTTGAACTTCTGGTAAGCTAACTGACGCTGTCAAAATACTTGAAAAACGAATTTGCAAGTAACTACAAGTTAACTTCCTGGCGATAGTTAACTAACCAAAAAGTTAACTTGCGATTGAAAAACCGGACCTTAGTGGTATGAACCTTCTTGGGTAGAGCTGAGATTGTAACGGTTTCACCGACCGATTGTGTTTATTAAATCAGTTCTCGATTTTCATTTCAGAATTGCAACTCATCAATCCCATCTCTAGTTTTTTTACTTGGAAAAATTTCCGCTTGCAGAGCGCTTGATGCGGGCAATAACATCCACGTGTTGAGTTCCTGATCTGTGATCTTCTTTTCACTTCAGCCGCCGATCTAACAACAGCTGAGAATTTTGTTCTTTGTAGCATGAGGTCATATAGCACCATGTGCTAGCATTTTGTAAAATGTGTGTCTAAATAGGATAAAATGATTGGGGCCACCCCCTTTGCCTTTGCCTTTGCCGTTGTCTTTGACTTTGCCTTCCTTTGTCTTTGACTTTGGCTTACCTATTGCTTGGCCTATCACTTTGCCGTGCCTTCACCCATGCATGTGCCTTGGCTGCGCCATCACTTACAGCTTCATCCTTGATGAAGATCACGTTTAAGTTCAACTTCACTGCATCCTTCGCGTACATATAGTTTTGAAGCCACTAAATATGAGGTCACCCCTCATAACTGGGACCTCCACTTGAAGCCCTTGGCCATCCTCGCTTCAGTCCAGTCAAAATGGACCAGCTTAGCGCCAAAGATTTAAAACTTTTATTTTTTTCTTTAAAATTTCAACAATGTTAATTCTCAAATGTAATGAAAATGTTTTTCTAGTTAAATAAAATCTGTTAAATTTTTGTGTTCTGTTTGTTCTTCTATCCTCTATTCATGCCATGGTCGACACACAGCTACACGCCTGTAGATGTCTTCATGCCACCGACGGAGCTACCGGAAGCTAATGTTTCTGTGGTTGTGCAGAAAAGTTGGAATCTTCATTGCATTCCACCTTTTCTGGACTATTTGCGTAAAGGAAGGTTTACAGTGTAAAATTTGGGAAAACACTTTTACGTTCCATTGACGTACGGAAAATATTATTGAAACCTCATTATTTTTTGATAAGACAATACATATTTTTAATAAAGGTTTGACCATCAGTTGTTTTTTTTAAGTTGGTATTATGTTGACAGATATATTATGTCAAACTTCCGCTGTGAGCAATGGATCGTTTTCACCTTGAAAAAAGGTGGGAAATATTGAAAAACTATTTTCAAAGTGAATGCTGTGTTGCAGAAACTTTGCGAAAATTGAAATACCTATTTATTCGGAGAATATTGAATAACGACATAGGATTATTTCCTTACAAGGTGCAACTTGTTCAAGAGTTGAAACAAAATGACTATCGGCTTCGATATCGTTTCTCTGTGTGGGCTCTAAATCAATTTGAAACGGACGTCAATTTTGGTCGCCAAATCATCTTTTCGGACGAAGCCTATTTCCATCTGCGAGGTTACGTTATCAAGCAGAACTGTAGGATTTGGGGTTCTGGAAATTCACATGTCGTCATAGAAAAACCAATGAATTCAAAACGAGTAACTGTTTGGTGTGGCTTTTGGAGTGGTGGGATTATTGGTCCCTACTTGTTTCAAGATGAAGATGGTAACAGCGTGACGGTAAACGGGGAACGCTATAGAGACATGTTGAGGAGTTTTTTGTGGCGCAACATGCCACACCAGCCGTGAAACAATCGATCTTTTACACAATAAGTTCGGTCATCGCGTTATCAGCCATTTTGGAGACGTTCATTGGCCAGCTCGCAGCTGTGATTTGACGTCCATGGATTACTTCCTATGGGGTACTGTTAAAGATTGCTGTTACCCTAACGATCCTAAAACAATTGATGTTCTTATGAAAAATATCCGTCGAACTATTGGTGAAATAAACCCACAAACTATCGAAAATGTGCTCCAAAATTGGGTTCAGGGGATGGACTACTGCCCGGCCAGCTGAAGTAGCCATTTAACTAAAAATTTCTTTCATAAATAATCGGAAGGCGTATTCTTTTGAACAAAGTATCGAGTGTTACATATTATTGAAGGGTGTAACTTTAATACCAATTTAAAGAACAAACCAACGGTTGGCCCACCTGAGACTTGCGTTTTACAGTTTAAGCCAATCTGTCATTTAGATATTGCCTAAACTAGACGTAATAGCCAAGAAAAACCTCTTGGGAATACACTTCGGAAATTACGGTTTAGATTACATAAACAATCTCTTTTGCAAATTTTGCAGTTTAATGTTTAAATCTAACAGTCATTAGAAGTGCTAACTTACAGCCGCTATGTCAAAGGCTATTGATCATAAAAAGAGTGATTTGTTCCAAGCACATATCTTTGAGTAACACCTAATGTAGAAAGTATTTTGTTCCTCTAAGGACAAATTATTATTACTTTGCTTTAATCTTGATGTATCCTGTAACACTAGTGAAACTTTGCAACAAAATGTTAACCACTTGACAGGATGTCCCATGAATGATAATCTATAGGTTAATTCATTAATCCTCTTGTTTTGTCATGAACGGAAGAAGAGCATTGTGCTTCCCCAATGAAAAATGACGATAGACAATCAAATGTTCATGCATTTCGCTGAAATTCTTGGTGCGATTTTTTATACCAATATTGAACGCGTGAAAGGTATCTGTCAAAAAACTCATCCTCGGTTACGTACTTTAATAGCTCATCGTTAGCTATTAAATTTTGAAATACGTGAAAAACTGTGTGAACCTTAATTGTATTTATCTTAAATTTCTGCAATATTGTTTGTTTACCATCACTGAATTATTTTACTGAAAGTATTGTTCAGATCATTCAAAATAATTGGATGCAGTTTGTATTCAGTCTGCGTAAATTTGACCACGCTTCAGCTAACTATCAGATACTAAGCTGGATGAAAATGAATGATCTATAGTGTATTTACACCCAAGATGGAATGGATGCGTGATTGCCAAAAGCAAGGACGGCGTACAGGGCCGCATTCAGGGCTACCTCCAAATGATGGACTACCACCAACGTGTTGTAAAGCAAAGATGACAGTATTTAACGAAATTAACTAATATAGTGGAGTAGTTATAGTTGAGGGTGTCGCAAAATCAATTTTTTATTCTTGAAGGGGTGCTAAGCTTTTCTACAGATTTTTCAAACTAGACAACATGGATAAATACATACCAGAGGTAACCAGATGCTCACTATGCACAATGAATCCGTAGTCAATGAGGGGTAGAGATGACACTTTTGTACATGGAATAAATATAAGAATGTTCGATCAACTGAAAATAGATTTTGAAGGTGAACTTCGGACTTGCATTGTCTGTAGTTTATCTGTAAGTTAATATTTCACTATAACTATGATTCCCATAATATGTATTCTGTGACAAAACAAAAACGCGAAACTTACTCAGGATCACTTGAAGAGCTATCGTCATTGATGTTTATGATGATGGATTCAATTATGTTGTCCAGCTCCCACATTCCTACCTCCACTTTCTCCTGAACATGCTGCATACATTCTTGCCATCTTTGTGGTGTGACCTTCTATATAGCAATTCTGAACAGCTCTTGCATGTCAGGAAATTTAAATGTTGTATTGTGTGCAGCAACAAAATCCTTAACATCTGCCCATATGAGCTCAATGGGGTTGAGCTCACAGTGGTAAGGCGGCAAACGGAGTACTGTTTTGTGGTATGCTTTGGCCATTTCATCTATGACATATTTATCATGTCTTGGTCTGTGTTGTTTCACAATACCTAATAGTTGTAATTTCAGTAAGGAAGGGTCGAAAGTTATATTTTTGGAACGGA